TCCTAATCTTCTCAACTCCTCGTATTGTTCGTCCTCTCTGACCGCGCTCGGGCCATCAAAGAGACAGCCTAATCTCCTTCCAGTAGACCTACATTCCTCACCCCTTACACAGCATTACACAGCGCACAAGCACATCGTAACAAATACTAATTGATGCTACTCCTTCTAACAATACTCAGGGTCTGGGACCTCGGGCCGCCGCCCTCCGTCTTGCCATCAGGCACACCTCTCAAAGCCCACCCTCTATCGATACTGTCCGTCCCAAAAGTACGGTCTGTCGAGCCGCTGCTCGTACTGCTGCTGCCCCTGCCAGTACATGGTGTTGACCATGGCGTACGGGCCTCCACCTATTTCATACTGTCCATCCAGTTCCCAGTACGTCCCTTGTGCAGCATAGGCCTCGTACGCGTGTCGTTCCTGCTGGTACGTCTCCGTCATCTCCTCATGGTAGCACACGCCATCATCGTCTACCGCGGCAACCGGCAGGCAAGGCGGCGCCGGCGCCCTTTTCCACGTGTAGTCGACAAAAGCCTTCTGCTTTCGCACGTTCATGACGTCTCGCCGCGTCGTGGGGTCTCGCAGAAGAATGTCCCGCGCCCCCTTGCGCTCTTTGCATCCAAACTTTCGCACGAGATACTTGAGGACGTGTTTGTCTTCCTCGCTGAAGTGCGCCTTGCCTTCAATTCGTTGGTCAATCTGCCGTAGTCTTGTCGTGTCGAAAGGCGTTGCAATGTACCCCATGAAGCTGCCAATGGACCGGCTGCAGAACCCTTCACGCCGCAGCAGTCGCTTCATCTTGTGCGGCGAAATGACGGGTTCTTCCGACTCCACCGTCTCTGACCAGTCCGAGACGGGCTCATCCTCGTCAAAGTAGCGTGTATCGTCCGACGCATGGAGGTGTGGTACGAAACCAGGCGTCATCCGGTGCAGATGGTTCCAATCAAGATACTGAAACCAGGGGTGGTTCTTGATGTCGATCGCATCGTCCTCGGCAAACACATAGTGCTGTGGTGCAAGAGGATCTTGGCTGCGGTACTTTGGAGATGACAACCGGCATTCTTGGTTCTGAAGCAACTGTAAAATGAGGTGCTGGCACTCGTAACTGACGCCGGGTATGTCTCGCGGGAATTCAAAGGTCGATGCATCGTGGGCCTAGGATACTGCAATCAACAACATGCCAACCCAAACCTGCATTGACCACTTACGAGGATCTTCTTCTTCGTGTCATGACGGCCTCCTTCAGCAAGGAACGGCGTGCACCCGTACAGACACTCGTACAGGATGATGCCAATACTCTACTAGTCGCATCTCCCATCATATCTCTTCCCCTCGATCACTTCAGGAGCCATGTACTGGCTGGTGCCAACAACAGACTTGGCGTATGTGCGGTTTCTGGTGGCCCGCCAATCTAGCAGGCTGCCGACGAGGGGGATCTGTTCACCGCCTTCAGCATTCGCCCGGAAACAGGATGGAGGCTTGTGCCTCTCTCTTTCGACCCGATCTTGGTGGCGCTTGTGCGCCTTTGACGTTTTTGTGTCCTCCTTCTGATCGGTCGCATCGCCCTCGACAGCGATGCCCAGATTACGCATGAGGTCGTCGCGTTGCCAGAGGTAGTAAGCCGTGTCATGCTGCCATCGACCGTCAAAGGCCAGTCCAAAATCGGAAATTTTCAGGTGGCCATGGGCATCAATGAGAAAGTTGTCAGGCTTGACATCGCGATGTATGAAGCCCAGACGATGGGCCTCCTCCACGCAAACCACCATCTCAGCGACATAATGGCGGGCAACATGCTCCTCCAGGATGTTCTCGCGGATGAGAAGACCAAGAAAGTCGCCTCCGGGCATGTACTCCATGACGAGATAAAGGTTCGTAGCGTCCTGAAAGCTGGATATCAACTGGACTATCCTGCAAAATATCAGTACATCCGAAATGGTACACCAACAGCGCTGATGCTGGGCTGCCTCACCATTCAGAGGTCTCGGACGCAATGAGGAAGTCCCGCTCGGCTCGTAGGTGGCCTTCCTGGGAACTGCGGATCATGTCTGTCTTTCTGATCACCTTCATGGCGTACACATTCTTCTGGCGCCGTTGACCGCTCTGGAGGTCTCCGTCACCTTTTTCTCGAACCAGGCGTACAACGCCAAAGCTTCCCTTGCCCAAGTTCTTGAGCGTCGAGTAGTTCTTCACGCATGGTCCTTGGCCGTTATCGACAAGGCGATTAGCAGCGCGAAGACTTTCCCACTTCAGAACCCTGGACTGCCGCAGATGATGGGTCTCCTGTTGAAAGAAGGCGGTTTCGAGCTCCTTCCTGTCTTCAGGTAGTACCATGGGGCTGCTATCTAGGACGGACCTCATCCCATCAAGCCTTGCGGAGCGAGGTGACGGACCGTCCTGCAACAAGTCATTGTAGTACGTCTCAAAGTGAGCCTTGGCAGTGGCCGCCTTCTCCATTGCCCGAACCTTGACGTCCTGGGGATAGAACAACACGGGGACCTCTACGCCAGGGTTCATATGGTTCTACCTGATGACGTCCATGACAAACTGTGCACGCTGGCCCGTTCGATCAAACTGGGAAGTGCGACGCAGGCTCGAGCCAATCGAGGTTTGGCGTGTGGAAACTTGCGTGTCGTTGGGCGAGGACCGGATGACACTCGGCGACGAGCTGCTATCGCCGTCGGTCGAAGCCTGTCCTGTCGCACGAGCACCGACGAAATGACGAGCGAATTCGGGAAGGCTTTTGGGCTGCAGAGCAGAGAACCAAGAATTCTGCCTGACCAGCCCTTTGAGAGACGAAGCAGGGGAAGGTATCAGCGAGCTCGGACCTGTGCCTGTTAGTGTATGGCTCGCTTTTCGCTGGCAGTGGCCGAGTCTGCTCGTACCACGATGCTTTGAGACGCGATATAGTTTGCTGTGGATTCTGCCCGCGATTCCGCGGCTCTGGCTCGTTGAAGGCAGGGAGCTTGTTTCCATGCCGCTGCTGTGAGCATGCTGGCCTGGTTGACCAAAGCCAGGGTGCGGAGAGGGCAACGCAGACTGCATGCTGGTAGTGTTCGGGGTACAACGGTGCGTATCCCGCAGTGCAACGACGAATGATTTATGATATGGGGGATAACGAAGGAGAGACCGATAAACGAGCCATGCAAATGTAATGATTGGGAACGTCTTCCGTGGCGATGTCGCCAACAGCTGATGCTACGAAATGGATGTGGGAGGTTGTAGGAAAGGAAGGGAAGTCGGCTGCCGCGAGTGAGCAGTTTGCAGAGCAAGGCCGGTGATGGCGGGAGAGCCATGTATCTGCCAGAGAAGGCGTTTCATGGCCAGCACCTTCCTTGTTCCAAATCTACCTGCTTCTCCTTGGTCAGTCGCAAGATTGCCCCAGATGAGTGGAAACCGCCATAATGGCCGCCAATTTCCTCAGTCTTTGGCAGCAGTGCCCCTCCACTGTCGTAGTCGTCTTCTCCTTCTCCAGATCCCATGACTCAACGCACACATCAGTCACAACGCACACAAGATCAGACAGCCAAGTATTCAAGATTCAGTTCATTGCCACTCGAGCAGACCATCTATCTACCACACGGCAAGGCAGACTCGAGACTTAGGCAGACTTAACCCAAGGAAATCAAGCAAAAAACAGCTTTTACCCCCTGACGCCGACCAATGCAATGCAGAGCCCTCGCCTCGTCATCCCATCCGACATGGACCGCGTCATGAGGATCGCGGGCCGCCGCAGGTCGGAGACTCTTCAACACGGCATTGCGGTGATGAGAATATAAAGGAAAGGCCGAAAAGTGGCTGAGCAGCCGGGACAGAGTCGACCCGGTTTTGCTCGAGTGTATGTAGGATACAGCCGCCGCAAGACCCAATGCAGGCTCGTGGTTAGTTTCAGGCGGCGGCGGCGGCAACAGTGGAGCGTGGCGTCGGACAGCCCGAGCCACTATCTCATTTTCTCTTCCTTTACTTGATCTCAAGAAGCTTGACATCGAACTGCAGAGTGCTGTTCGCGGGGATGCCGGGGAGGCCCTTGGAGCCATAGGCCAGGTGGGCGGGGATGGTGAGGCGGCGCTCGCCACCAATGGTCATGCCGAGGATACCAATGTCCCAGCCCTTGATGACCTGGTTCTTGCCGGCCTTGAAGGAGAAAGGCTTGCCCTTCTTGTTCGCTGAAGAGAGAAAAGTGTTAGCTGGTCAATCTCTTGTGTGATCGAATCCAGTGATCAACTTACCATCGAAGACCTTGCCGTTCTCGAGCTTGCCGATGTAGCGGACACCAACGGTGTCACCGTTCTTAACAGCACGGCCCTCGCCGATCTTGCGGTCGTCAATGGTGACGCCCTGAACGACCTTGACGCCGACAGCGGCCTTGCCCTTCTTCTCAGAGCCGGTAGGGCCCTGCTCGAGGTTCTTGGCGAACTGGACCTTCTTGTCGGCCTTGCTCTTAGGCTCCTCAGACTCGACGGCCTCGCCCTTGTTGTTCTTCAGCTTCTTCTGCTGCTTCTTGGAGAGCTTGGCGTCGTCCTTGGTGATGAGGTCATCGAGACCCTCGGCCTCCTCGGCGGCGCGCTTGTTCTTGCCCTTCTTGACCTCGACGAGCTTGGGGGCCTCCTCGTCCTCGCTATCGACCTCCATGACGCGGGGGTCGTCGAGACCGTCGAGCTCATCGCTCTCGTCGCTGTCCTCGCCGCCGAGGAGCTCATCAGAGGCGAGGTCGTACATGTCCTCCTCATCCTCGTCGTCCTCATCCTCGTCATCCTCCTCGTCGTCGTCGACAACGTAGTTGCCGGTCAGGTGAACGGAGAAGTGACCGTCAACAAGGAACCAGGCCTGCTCGTTGGGGCCGACGGAGATGTCGAGAGCCTGCTGGAAGTGCTGGTCGGGTTGTCAGTAGTGCGCGGGCAAAGGAGGGGCTGTGGTCGGGTCTCGACTTACGCGCTCACCGTCAAAGGTGGCCAGGACGTACTGCTCGAGCTGGTCGGGCGAGTCTTCATCGTCGCTGTCCTCCTCATCATCCTCATCGTCCTCGTCGGAAGCCTTGCCCTTGCCCTTCTTGCCGTTGGTCTTGGACTCGGCCATATCCTCGTCAGAGTCCTCGCCCTTGAGAGCAGCGATCAGCTGGGCAGCGCCCTTCTTCTTCTTGGAGGGGTCGCTGGGGCCGCCGTTGGCCTCCTCGTCAGAGTCCTCCTCGTCGTCGGGGGAAGCAGCGAGAAGAGCCTTGAGGTACTCCTCGTCGATCTCCTCGTCATCAGAGTCCTCCTCCTCATCGTCGTCAAGGGGCATCTTCAGGAGACGGAGAACGGCGAGAGGCTTGGAGGGGATCTCAGAGTCCTCGTCTTCGGGACCCTCAGGCCTGGTGGGGTCAATGGCAGCCATGGTGATGCGGTACTGAGAGCATATTAGTATTTGATGCGATGAGCAAGCTGGGGAGCACAGCATGGACTGCTGGAAAGGCAGCGAGCAAGCGACATGATACAGAGTCAGGCCAAGGCCACGGTCAAACCGAACGTGCGCATGTCGACTTGCCGCGGTGCGCATGTGCAGAATGAACCGCGGCGATAGCAGCCACAGAGCTCTTTTGAGGAGTAGGAAAATAATGGAAGACTTACGCCGGCGGGGAAGTTGGGACCAGCGGGGGTCAGCTTGCCGGGGCGGACCTCGAGGCCATAGATGGCGACAGGCTGGGGAGCCATCTTGTTGATCTGATGTGAATTAAAGAGGTTAAGAAGTAGGTACTTTGAAAGGGTCACGCGAAAGTGAATGCGCGCGAGGTGAAGGGAATCTTGGATGTGTGTTCGTGTGGGGGTAGGAGCAAGATCCGAGAGGTGGACGGAATTCGTTGCAAGGTATGAAGAAACTTGCGTTGAAGATTGTCAAGAGGCAGGCAGACGGATGGATGGGCAAGGCGCGGCTTGATGAAGAAGAGCTCCAGTCCAAAATTTTCCTGGACGCTTCAGGGCGTCCCAGAACTTTTTCTCTGCGGCACCCCACTACGGATGGCGCTAGCGTGATAAGCCTTCTTATCGAGCCTATGGCAACGGCGGGACGACAGCCTGCGCAAGGCAGAGGCCCAGCACAGTCTGGGGAAGGCAACCACCTGAGCGCCTGAACTCTTTCCATCTGTCTCCATTCATCTCGAGTCCTTGGCAAGTGCGGTGGGTTCATATGCAGGCGGCAGGCGCAGGGTACTTGATAGTGGGCCAACATACGTTCGTACGGCAGTGGCAGAGCAGTAGCAGCAGCATTGGCAGGCGCGGTGGATACATCCACTGGCAGGACCGGAGCGGTGAGGTGCTCCATGATGCCATCCAATTCTCTGCCCTCAAGCATGAGCTATTCCAGGCCTCAGCGGCTTCGTCAACGGAATTGACTTTTCGGATCGGCGGGACAAAACAAAACTCGCAACAGCCAACCCTAGAAGGGACCCCTACACACTACTCCTTATGTACCTAGGTACCTAGCTAGGTACACGGCGCCGACCTGGATCGGTACACCCGCGACCGCCCCCCGCCTCTGCCACGGTATGCGCCATGTCGCCCACCTCAGCCGCGAGGGACTTGCTGGACCCCGAGCCACGCCCGTCCCGCGTCCCCATTGTCCGCACCCGGCATTGGCCCGGGCACGATCACAATGTCCACCGCCGCAGGGTCCACCCGGTCGTGCGTAACGTGGTGCGCCGGCGCTCCTCTGAGGCCTGTTGTCAGAGAACAGTGCCTCGACGCCATTGTCATGATTGCTAGCCATCGAGTCCGAATTGTCGAAAAAGGTGACTTTGTTTGGTAGCTTTTGCGTGCTTAGTCCACCACTCGCACGAATGCATGTTGCAGGTAACATTCGAAGCCACGGTCTACTTTCAATAAGCACTAAAGAGCCAAGCCACACCTAAGAGTCGTGCCCGCGTTTGTGTAGGAGTGCCCTCCCAGAAAACCACCTTGGGCCGGGATCCTAAATCGTGTAGTAGGCATGCTTCATTCTTATCCTGTTACCCATATCATCAAGGACAAGGATCACCACTTTGTGTTACTCGGAGTTTCCATCGCAAGGTAAGAATCAAGCTGCACAAAGCCTCTATGAAGTGCTTGTGAAGCATACGCCCGCTACGTCTAGTATTTGTCAGTTTCTCCTGACAACCCTGTTCGAGTGGTTTACCCTGTGACCTAAAATCCGTAACTTTGCTGTTATTACCGCAATGTTTGCCTGCCTATCCTCGAACTCGGTCCATCTGCTCAACACCCTCATCGCTGCAAAGTGTGTCTATACTCCAAAACGAAGTCCAATGCTGAAAAAGAAATATTGTCATTGTACACGTGAAGCCCCTGTGGTTGTCCTCCCGAAAGCAGAAACCCATTAAAGCCGGTATCAAGTGAATACCATCGAATTTGGTGGCGAAAGCAAATAGAGAGTGGAAAAGTATGCGGCTCGTCACTGAAGTGCCGGCTGAAAGAAGTGCTCTTTCTCAAACAGCAGCTGGACCATCATGCCATCTGTTCGATCGGCGTAACGGACTTTGATCTTTGGCG